GCAATGACTTAATGAAGAAACAGAAAACTACTTCAATAAAGTAAGACAATTCACATTCACAGAAGAAGGACATTGTAACTTGTTATTTCATTCTTTGGGGGACTCATCAGCACAGTGTAGCAAATGTTATAAATTTAAAAAAAACTATTTTAAGACCCAATTGTTGAATGATTAAGAATTACAAGCTTGAAAGTTCAAGTAATTAATGTCGCTTGATCTGAAATAAATCCAATAATGGGTGAAATTAAACCAGATTTTATTTATAAAGTATAATATGTGCTTATCATATTTTAATGGGAAAGGAGACCATTGAAACTAAAGTATATAAAACACTTTCATGGTGTATGAAGTTTTAAATTGCAGAATATAAAGTAAATAACATTTTCAATTCTTTTGTTTTTTAAAAATAAAAAGCCTCTGTCTCAGGGCTCCAGGCAAAAGTGATACTGTGAACAAATTATATATATATATAATTTATTTTGGGCATGGTTATACATAGCCCAAGATGGCCTCAGACTTGATATGTACATGAGGGTGATCTTGAACTCTGACCTGCCTGCCTCTATCTCTTGAGTTCTAAGATTACAGGCATGCACTATCATGCCAGCTTATGTAGTACTGGGCATCTATCCCAGGGCCTTGTGCATGCTGGGCAAGCACTCTACCAACTGAGCTATATCAATAGTTTTCAATACTTCAATACTTTTATAATCTTCTCTTACATTGGTAACCGAATTTTGCAAAGAATATAGGATATGTTCTAAAATTTTTTGAAGGCCTCAGACCAATGATCATCTTTCTTATGATTATTAAAGTCAGTTTCATGGCTTCAGTAACCACTCATTCAATGTCCCCTGCCTTCAAAGCAAGGACTTACTTGTAATTAAAGTTTTATATTTGGTCATAGAAATGGAGGTCAACTAATATCAATGTGATTGTATTTTAGCTTTAAATATGAGCACCAATTCATATGAAAACACTTATTTAATTTAGAATCACCTGTGCTCTCCTAAATCCCTCTATTTAGAGTCCTTTTAGCTAGTTTTCATCTTTGCCTTCAACAAATGTTACAAATGCATTTTGATAACAGTTTTGGCAGACCAAGCATAGAGCAACACCTGTATATAACGAACCACAGTGCACCTCTCATACCTGCTTATGGACTCTCTAAAAAGAGATTGAAGATATTGGGCACAGGGGTCGTAGCTGTTGGGCTTGCTGCAAATCCACTTCCTATCAGCATAGACCCAGGCACTGCTGATTCCGTTGTCATTCAGGTAGGCGTGCTCTCCCACTCCTCGGATGATGGAAACCCTAAAACCAAAACCAAAAACATGAAACTTACACAACAGGCATATATATTCACCCCTGCACTAAAATCTCCAGTGCTTCTACTGAAGATTTTGAGTAGGAACAGAAGACACAAAAGTCCATCAGGAATTATTTGCACTAGTTTTGTGCATAGTTTCAGATTCTCAAGTTTTTATTAGAATATAATACCTGTTATCGTTCATTGATGCCAAACCCAATGATGTGGTAACAAGGTATGTAACTGCTACTTGCTGCCATGTGCACTTGAACTTCTGCCATGGTGACCTTACTGAGAGTAATTTTCAGTCTTATCTGGAACTGTTCCATACATGTAAAAGTGAAGAAAAATCTTCCTAGTAGATTGCTTTGATTGATGGTAGAGTCTGACGCCTGCAGCTCTGCAATGGCTTCCTGGAATATCAGAGCCTTCACTGCACATGTGCGGTTCTGTCTACATTCCACACAGGATTTATCAGCAAGGCCAAACTTTAAAGTGATGAAGGGGTAAGCAAGAACTCCCCAGATGTCATCATCCTGCTGAAGATTTCAAGTGAATTCACAGAATGTGAAGGTTTTCCAAAAATCACAATTAATAAATAGAAGATCAATAGAAAGGATTTAAATTTGAGGGAATGTGGATTTTGCTGGGAATTGGCTCATGTGTGACAGTACACTCTACCTCTGCTACATGTGCAGCCCAAGGATTCGTATTTCTTTCTTCCCAGCACAGTAAGCTTCACAGGATATTACCTTTTGAAACTCATGAACACAACTCACACACAACACATGAACATTGTAGGAGGAAACGAGGTCTGAAAACATACATGTTGTGGTATTCAGTGTTGTCTGTCCACTTCCAAGCATGCTGTGGCGATTCTCTGTGCAGGCCGATCCAGTGATCAGAAGAGCCCTTATATCTTCTCAGGAAATTCTGTCACAAAACACAGAAAGCAAACACATATGTCTCTTTCAGGTGACCCTTGAGTCTTGCTGCCCCACAGCCTCCTGTTGGGATGGCTGCAGGTGTCACTGGGGAGCACAGACTCTGTAACCAGACTAGTCCTCACTTCTCAGAGGAGCCATTTGATGTCCATGACACTGATTTACTTTATTTTAATGATGGTACATCCCACTGCATCTGTAAAGTCCTACTTTATACCTATCCTTTCAGAATATTAATAGTAGCCACCTTCAGTATGTAACATATACCAACATGGATAAAAACTTACATGATTACCACATGTCTTATGGTGGATATGGCATATCTAGCCTTGCAGGCTGATTATGTCCATTACATGAGAGAATGTGTCTGGAAGGTCTCAGTGTCTCAGGGCTCCAGGCAGAAGTGATACTGTGAACAAATTGCATGCAGTAACATGCATCCCATGTTCCCAGCTTTGCCTGGGAGGGGATCCTTCCTTGGTCTTCAGCCTTAAACTCCCCACCTCAGGGAACTGAATATTCAACAGAGAAGGAATCCATACGTATTTCTTATCCATTCTTCCTGGTTTTCAAACTGAGCAAGTTGGGCTCCTAATGTCACACAGGAGGTCTGGCTATATGTCCAGTTTTTCGTGTCATCAGAAAAATAAAAACATTTACTTCCAAACCCAATCCAGTTTCTTGGACAGTTGGCATATATGTGGTTCTTGATTATCTGTTTTTCCTTTCTCACTAAAATTTAGACAATAAAATGAATTATAATAAACATTTTCATGTCTTGTCTTTTTTGGGGGGTATCATTCTGAACTCAACTCTGAGGCTTGTGCATTTGGACTGTGGCTTTCCTATTCATGGCTAGGAGAACCCCCTCCCCCTTCCCCACCCAGCATGATGGTCTTCCATCATAAGCTTCCCAGCTAGGTTCTGTGCCCTTTTCTCTCTGTGCTACTCACTGACTTTAAGGAATGCATTTGAGGGGTACTAGAAAGCAAGCACTATGGGAACACCTATTGTGATAGCGTGTTGATAACCAAAATGACATTGCAGACAGCTGAGCAGGCAGTTCACACAGCACAGAGACATTAGACAATGGGGTGGTCCACACAACAGGGAGGATGAAGCAGGGAGGCAAGGTTTCATCACGTTCTTCAGAACAGTAAACAAAAACTTATGGATTGATTACTTCTGGAACTTTCTGTTTAATACTTTCAGACCGCAGTTGAACATGGTAGCTGAAATCACAGGGAATGGGGGAGTGTGTTTCCTTCTCAACCTCATCACTTCTCTGCCCTCACTCCCTCAGCTGCAGCAGCCTCTTTGAGACTCTCCTGTGGGACTGGCTCTCCTTGTGCTCTGTCTTGAATAGTTTCCAAGGTAGACACATGGCTCCTGCATCTCCTTCAAGAGGATGCTAAAACATCCATCATCTTCCCAGTGAAGCTGACCTGGCCTCCCTATGCAACCTGTCCCACCCACTCTTTTTCACTGTCTATATCTTCCTGCTAGACTCCAAGTTCCCAGAGAAGAGGAATTTTGTGTGTGTTTTGTCTCAAGCACTTTCCACACTACTTGACACACAATGACAATCAGTAAATGTTACTGATGATACAACTGTGAACAGAGTACAATTTCCAGAATAAGTAGCTGACCTGACAAAGCAACAGAAAGCACAACTACAGCTGCAGTGAGGACTGCGATCAGCAAACAGCAGCAGGAAAGCTTGATCACAGGAGTGAGAAGTGCTACAGGTTTTCCATGGAACTTTCCACCTGTAAAATAGAAGTACCCGAAAGTCAATATCGACAATCTCTTAAGGAGAAAAGAAATAAAGGACTAGAGAGATTGCTGCCCTACCACAAGGGCAGGATTTGGGATCTCAGCACCCAAGTCTGGCTGTTCATTAACATAGCTCCAGCCCCAAGAGGTCCAACGCCCTCTTCTGGCCTCTGAAAGCACCCCACACATACAGATACATACTACATGCAAATGCACAAGGACACACACATAAACTAAATAAAAATAAAATTTTGAATAAAAAAATAAAACAAAAACAAAAACCCCCGAAAAACACTTGCCCGTAGCTCTGGCTAGCTGATGGTCTTTTGGTTTCTCTCCTCAAAGCTCCCTAACTAGCAGTTTGCCTATAAGTTTCAATAAACTAGAACAGCAAAAAGTGGTCCCCTTGTAGCTAATTTTGAAACTCTGACTACAGAATATTTTTCTACTGAAAAAACCCAAACTGCCACCCACTCACTTGCTCCTCTCACCTCCTACTTCCTGCTAGTTTTTCTTAACCTCTTGGCAAAATTAAAGTCTTTTTCTGTTTCATTTTGAGATGCTTGGGTACTTCTGAAATCACAGCACTGTTTCTCCTATGAGTAGAACTGTGGAGTGAAGTCCCTTCTAACCCAGCCAGCTGTATTTGTATTTTCTGCACTATTGATGCACTCTGTATTCTGGCTGATCAAATGCATGACTGTTAAGTGAAAGAACTCAGACTGTGGGATACCTGCTACAGGAATCCAGGTATGTGACATTCTGGAGAAGAAAGTGTTAGGGCAGAAAACAACAGGGCTGGCCAAGGGCTGGGGACAGAGTAAGGGAGTGTCAGCTTGGGGCCACGGGGAGGGGGGGATTGGGGTGGTATGTGGGTCTGTATTTTTATTGTGATGGTGATTTCCTGATATGTTTTTAAGACTTACGGAAACGTACACCAAATGAATGAGTTTTTCTGAGCGTGATTTACATTTATTTCAAAGTTCCCACTGACTTTAAGGGCTATTTTGCTCGTTTCATACATCTCTAAAACAGGCTGCCTTGGTTTAAATGACAAGGAGGAAGTTACCTGGGATTGGATGGTTTTACAATGTGCTTTGGATTTTGGCTCCTTCATTCTTTTTACTTTTGCATTAAGCAAAAATGTCTTTAGAAACTCATGATTTCCACATTGTTTCAAATTTTTACTAAAGGGATGTGCAAATCATCCTTTTTGTGTTTATGTGTGCTTTGTTTTATTCTGTGTCAGGGTTTCTTGGTACTATAGCTGGCCTGGAACTTGCTGTGTAGACCAGGCTGGCCTCTGTCTCACAGAGATCTTCCTGCTTCTGCCTCCAGAGTGCTGGGACTAAAGGCATGCACCATCATGCCTGACACTTTCCTTATTATTTTTGACATTCAAAAACAAAACTTGCATTATAGAAAATCTCAAGCATATACAAAATTAGAGAAAATAGGATCCTAAATTATTCCCATGTGCTCATTACCTAACTCCACTTCAACAATTCTCTCTCCCCTTCTCTCTTCCCTCCTTCGCTCTCTCCTCTCTCCCCTTTGTTTCTCTTCTCCCTCCCTTTCTCTCTCTTTCTCTCTTTCCTCTTCTCTGCTCCTGCTCTTCCTCCTCCCCCAGGGTCAACCAGCTATGCAGATCAAGCCAGCCCCCAACTCACAGAACTCTGCCTACCTCGACTGCTTAAAGGCTTGTGTCACCAGGGTCAGCTGGTTTTATCAATTTTCCATCCTCCTTAGCCCCACAATCTCCAGATTTCTTTAGAGTAAATCTCAGAAGCTTTATAAACTCATTCAAATTTGAAATTTATAGGCTTATTTATGATGTCTGGGTTTTGCATTGCGCTTAAAAATTCTTTCCGTGACTGATCAGCCATGTAAGGTTTTCTATGCCTGACTAATTTCCATCTGACACATCATCCAAGTCCACTCACGTTGACACAAAAGGCATTCTTTCATCCTTTTATTGGTGCATAATATTCCATTGCATATCAGAATACACATGACATTTTCTTTCTCATTGAACCATTGATGGGCTTTTAGGTGGATTTCCCTATGCTGGATATTGTGAACAGTGCTATATTAAATACTGAATTACAAATATCTTTACCAGAAGCTGAGAGAATAGACAGGAAGAAGACAAAAAGAGGAGTAAGCTCTGGCGTTCAAAGGCATAGCGAAATGAATACAGTTTACAAGAATGCATTGTAAACCTCAAAATAGCTAGAAAGGGATATTTCGAACGCAGTCCCTATAATGGAACAATAAAAGTTCAAGGTGATAGACATGCTAATTCAACTTATTTTATTTAATATATGCATGAATCAGAGCATTTCACCATACCTCATAAGTTTAAATAATTGTTCTGTGTCAATCAAAAAACACAGCAAAATGTTTTTATTTTGTTCTAGTAAATTTTACAATATTTAAAAACTGTGACTGGAGAGATGGCTCAGCAGTTAAGATCGCTGTCTGCTCTTGCTGAGGAATTGGCTTTGGTTCCCAGCACACACATGGCAGCTAACAACCATCTGTAACTCGAGTTCCAGGGGATCTGATGCTCTCTTCTGGCCTCTGCAGGCATTGAACAACATGGGTGAATTTACATGCATACAGGCAAAACACACACAAAAAATAAAATTTTTTTTTAATTTGAAAAATGGGCATGGTGGCACATACCTTTAATTCCAGCACTCAGGAGGCAGAGGCAGGGGGATCTCTGTGAGATCAAGTCCAGCCTGGTCTATCTAACGAGTTCTAGGTCAGCTAGGGCTATAGGGAGACTCTTTCGAAAACAAATAACAACCACAAAAAAGTAAGAGTTAGGGATGCAACTCTATGGTATACCATTTACTCAGCATATGTTCCTTGATGGATCCTCAATATAGTGTGTGTGCATGCACAAGCACACACACACACACACACACACACACACACACACACACACCCCTATATACAAACACACACAAATTATTTTTATCATGAATTGATTTCTCAGACAGCTTACACAAATGAACTTCATAAATGATATACGCCCTTGTTTCTACTGAATTGAACTTTGGTGTTTGGGTCTGATAAAAAGAATAGAAGTAAGATCTAGAATTAAGCATAATATAAATTTAACCAATTTCCCCCTTCATTATTTTCTCATCTTTGATTGCGTATAATTAAATGTATACACTAATAGAAAGAATATACTAATAAAAATTTTAAAAAACAGCAGAGCAAACTGGAGAGTTTGGGGTCAGGCTAAAGAACAGGTACCTGGAATATCTTTTAGAAGACCCTTCAAGCATCTAATCACTAAGATTCCATTCAACAAGACTCAACATGTTATTAACAGACAAGCTTTTTACCCATAATCCTCTGCATTTATACCAACTAATGCTCGTAGTTGATCCTTTTTTAATTTATACACAACTGTTAGTGTTTTTCCCATTTCCTTATGCTGTGCACTTGTCTATCGCCCAAGTTCCTATGTCTCCCATAGCACATTTAGAACACAGTAACCTTCAACTCTTGATTAGAAAACAGCATTAGAAATTAGCTCTCAAAAGATCAAAGAAATGGAATCTATTACTAACCAAATTTTAGCTTCAGTTTTAGATTCAAAAATTTTACTTCAGTTACAAAAACAGGAAATAGTTAAGGTTTAGTAACAGGGTTACAGAACAGCTGTGGTTATATTATAGTTATACTTTGGAACATGAGCTCCACATTTATAATGTGCAATGCACAATGTTCTGGCTGACCAAATACCTTAATAGCCAAACATGGGCTAGCTAGATGGTTCATTGGGCAAAGGCGTTTACCACCAAACTTGATAACCTGAGTTCAATCCCTGGGGCCGACACTGTGGAAGGAGAGGATTCTGTCCTACACACACACACACACACACACACACACACACACACACACACACAAATATATTAAAAATGCAATAAAAAATTAGCTGAGTGTGGTGGTGCATGGCTTTAGTCTCAGGACTTTGGAGACAGAGGCAGGCAGATCTTTGTGAGTTCGAGGCCAGCCTGGTCTACATAGCCAGTTCTAAGCCAGCTGGGGTTACAGGGAGATCCTGTCTCAAAAGATTTTTAAAAAAAGATGTGCAAAAAAACTAAAGGCCCAAACTGGTGGGGTGCTAGTATTGCAAGGCAGAGAATGGAAGATCAGGAGTTTCAAGACAGCCTGAAACTATACTGTGAGACTTTGTCTTAACACCAAACCAAACCAACAAGAAAATATACCCAAGCATGGCAGTGCAGACCTTCAGTCTCAGCATTCTGGAGGCAGAGGCAGGTGAATCTTTGTGAGTTCAAGGACAGCCAAGTCTACATAGTGAGTTCCAGACCAGTCCAGGGGTACAGCTTGAGACTTTGCCAACAAAACAAAACAAAAAACCAAATTACTTTCAGTTATGAGACTACCTAGTTTAACTTTAGGTTAACTTTCTTCATGAACTTTCTTTCTTGATAAGTATGAATACTGTTTTTTAGGAAAGTCAACGTTCTTTCCCTAAACAACAACAAATTAATGTAAGGGAAGAGGGACAAAAGAAAGAAAAAGAAATAACAGAATAAACTATATATGTTTTTCAAAATGCAGGAGATAATTTTGTGTCTTTCTGAAAACTAAAACAGAAATTTCCATGATGTTCTTTTTCTGTAGTTTACCACACATGAAAATTAAAAAGATTTGTTTGGGAGGGTTCCAACTCCTACCCCACCCCACATCCCTACACTTCTTTCTAATTTCAGTGGATCTGCAAACTACAAGTTCCAGCACCCCGGCACCTGCTGTTCATATGCACCTGGTGAAGCTGTTACTATCTGTGCTCCCCTTTACTCTGGGAACTAGAGAGCATGCTATGGACCAGCTTCATATAACTGAGTAGAGTGTGAATCACCAGAGATCTGCTCTTCCCCAGAAACATTTAAGGAACACACACTCCCAACAGGGTAAATAATATAACAACCACCTATGTAAACTCTTACCCAGCCCTAGAGCCCCCTCCCCCTAGTATCTTCCTGCCTACAGAGACCCACTGTCATCCCCAGCAAGCATGAGGCTCAGCTCCTCCTTGGCTCCCTGGTGAAGCTCCTTAGCCCTTTTACTTTGATTCAAATTTCGTTAAACTCATACCCATTTCTCCCTCCTGCAGTCCAAGAGGGGAGGTGAGCACTGTCTTTAGCATGTACACTGAAACTTCTGCAGCACTCATGTTTGAGCTGAGACAAAGAGTTTCAGTTGAATTCTGGTGGAAGTTTGAAACTAGACACCACAGAGAGAGAGAGAGAAAAAGAAAGCAGTTATTGACCTTAAACAGTGCATACAAGCTTTGCTAAGCCCTGCCCACTCTCCACTATACTTTCTCTTTCCAATGAAAATTATGTTTCTGAGGATTATGAAACTAAATTAAGTAAACACAACAAACAAAATTGATAAAGGCTTTAGATTTAAAAAATGATGTTTTGAGATTACAAGGAGCAACTTCAAACACTTTTACTTCTGCCAAGTTTAACTGTCCTGCAGCAACCAACTTAAAAGCAAAGCATAATGAAAAGATGAAATGTAATTACCAACCCATTTCAAGCCTGGACACTTCCCACTGGGCAGTGATCCTTGGGGACCACAATAGATGAAACCCACATTTCCTTGTCTCTCTTAGGCTGAGCTTTGAGGGTGTCACTTATGAAGGGGACACCCAGGCCCAGGTCAGGGCATTCCATGTGCTAGGGAGCCTAGAGGCAGAGCCTCCAGGAGGCAATGAGAATGGAGAAAGTTAGAGCTCTCAGTATTAACACAAACACGGCGCTCACCTCAAAGGGAATGAGTTTATGCTGAGTGGCATAGTCCATGAACATGGGTTCAGGTTGCTCCAAATAGTACATCTCAATATGCAGATGGTTTTATGAAGTTTTTACAGTTATAGAAAAAAGAGTCTTACACCAAGTTATTTCTAGAAAATACACTGATGGAAACCTCAGGTAGGCAAGGTATCTCTCATAAATTTCAGATGCTTTCTGTTGGCATTCTTAGTTCTTGGATTAGTGGAAGGTAGTAATGTACTAATAGACTTCAAAAGTTTCACCTGATAGTCACAAAGATATTAGGTCAGACAGAAAGGTGGGAAAGGGAAGACCATTAAGAGGTCTAAAGAAAGCCTAAGATAATTTGGCTCTGGATGCCAATTCTCCATAATCACCAAGTTCTAATTATTCAATAAGCCTTGGAGAATCTTATACATAGGTGTGGCATTTTCTTAGGGAACATTCCAGCTCTCCCTGTTGGCCAAGCATCCTATTTTGTATACACAGAAGCCAAATATTATTTTATGCCCCAATATACTAGGAAGGCTCATTCCTAGAATCTGATGAATATGAGGTTAAGTGAGAACAGTGGTATAGCCATTACAGTTCAAATCTCTGAATAGTAGTTTTCTAGTCATCATCTGAATCTGATTTTTATATATATATGTGTGACAGACAAATTTATGTGTGACATATAATAGGGGTATCGTTTCTAAAGCTAAAATATCAAAACCACAATATAACTGAAATAGGTAAATGTAGTAGGTAAGAGAAATAGATTTTAACATGAGATTTTAAGGTGTAAAGCACCATGAATAATGTTGTTCTTGGTGACTATTTTTTCTTAAATTGGATGTAAAGAATCAACCCAGGTTAGAAGTGGTGGCACACACCTTTAGTCCCAGAATTCTGGTGGCAGAGGCAGGCTGACCTCTATGAGGTTGAGGTAGCTTGGTCTACACAGCAAGTTCCAGGCTAGCCAGGGCTATATAGTGAGACCCTGTCTCCAAAAACATGAGAGTCTACTCAAAGCCTTTGGACATTCAAATCCCACATCAGTTGGATAGAAGTTACTTCACAGGGTGTGGGGGACAGAATTCTGAGTGTGCCATAGTGTGTCCAGAGACTTCTAGTCCTAATGATATCTAAATCATCTGGAATTTGAATCCACCAAGTTACTCTGATGAATTGGAATCTACATGGTTGATAGGTTAGGTTCTATATGGTGGGGCATCCAGTCACACTTGTAGGGAAGATGCTCAAGGCAGATTATTCTGTGACAGGAAACCCAGACAGTTGCAACACATTGACCATTACATGCAGAAATTTGTTATGTCATTTTCTGTATCAAGATCAACATAGTAATATAATTGGTTGCACTTTGTTAATATTCTTCCTTTTATCTTAGTAAGAAAAAGTGTTATTGTTTGGGGCATTAAGAATTTGGATTTAAAATGTAGGTGCACCTGTAATGTAGTTGGGTTTGGGGGGAATATTTAAAATAGGACTTTGCCAGCTTAAAAAATGGATTTTTATACAAATTATATTAAATAATATGGGTGGTGAAAATTTTGACCATTTTTATAATTAATGAGCAGGCACAATATCATCACCACATTTATAGTTTCACAAAAACCAAGAAGAACACTTTTTTGTTATTTAGGAAAGTTCACCATGACAAATTCCAAGTGTTTCAGACATTTATTTTTGAGACAGAGTCTCCCTATAGCCCAAGCTGGCCTAGAATTCACCATGTAGCCCAGGCTAGCCTTAATCTCACAGAGATCCTCCTGCCTCTGCCTGCTTAGTGCTGGAATTAAAGGTATGTGCCACCATGCTGGCTCACATCAGATGATTTTTAAAAACATTTAATAGAAAAGGATTTAAGAAATGTGTTATAAATGAGTGAGAGTTGGTAGAAATGTTGCCAGAGGGGTTTTGGGTTAATAATTGTTGATGTAGTTGAAGGTAAGTTATCACTTAACTTTTCTGATGTCCAAGTAAATGTGTACTAGAATTTGGCACAAGTTTGAGGTAAGAAATAAGAATGTAAGCATTGGGCTGGAAAGCTGGTGCAGACCTTAAGGGCGAGGGCTCACAACTAAAGGACAAGAACGTAAGCATTTTTCTACTCAAGTTTTATGTCTAGCACAGGAGGTGGTTAGAAGTACCTGTCTTTTCCATCCTGCACAGGCAGTCTTTGATTGGTGTCTCTAATTGACGAAGTCACCGAGGTTTAGTTCTTATTTATGCAGCTCTTCACCCATATGAGCTCACTGTGGAAAGACCTATAACCAATTTGACGTTTTAGTTATCATTCATAATCTCTCTTATACTAATACTTAATATCTCCCTCCAGGCAGAGGTGGCTCATCTAGTCCTTTGTCCATTTTATAGGATGCTTAGTAATTCTTTTATTTCGTTAATATCATACACTATTTTATGTATAGTAATATAATTTACATGTGAAATAGCACTATAATAGAATGATGTTTGGGGGGTGAGGTTAAGACAGGGTCTCCCTATAGCCACAGCTGGCCTGTGATTATTCAGGCCAAGCTGGCTTCAATCTCAGAGTGCTGGCACTAAGGCTGTGCACTACCACACCCAGCTCAATAGAATTATTTTATGTAATTTTAGAAAAAGAAAAATTTCAGGTTATAGTACCCTTTCCCTCAGAACAATCTTTTTTTAAAAAATCATTTTTTCTAAGTGAGCCAATGTAACAAATGTATTCAGTGACTAGTCATGTACAGTGACTAGACTTGACCAGTAATGATTTTGTTAAGAGTTAATTGATGTTTTCCTAAAGTGATAGTTTTTAGATTTACAGCAACTAAAATTTTGGTATCTTTTTAGTGTTCTTGTTCATCTAACCAATAATGCAAAGTGATGAAGATCAGAGTCACAATAAATATTGTGTACAGTTTGTCAAATTGTACAGATTTAAATATTTTCCCACTAAACCAGCTTCACAATTACTATTTAATCTAGTGGTAATGACAGAAGTGGGAATAGTTCTTTCTTTTTAAAACCTTATTTATTCACATATATATGTATATATTTATTGTTCGTCTCCCGTGTACTCCCGATACCTGAGCTGTGGAGGCAGGAAGATCAAGGAGTTCAAGGCTATCTTCTTCGGCATAGTTGAGTCCAAGTACCTGAGATCCTGTTTCAAAAATAAACAATACAAAGAGCTAATTAGCAAAGAGGAAAACACCTTTACAAATGGATTTTTTAATAAATGTCATAAGATGCTGCCTTGATGGTCAGTAGGGTGATATGAAATTCTTTAGAAAATGCCAAAGATTCCTGATATGATTCAGAAAATAACAAAATTGGTAGTGCTGCTTTTGTGCAGGAAGGACAGGTAGCATGGGATTTCTTCTCCCTCTGGGTTTTATCATAAATAAACCATAACAATAATTAAAGTTGGGGGGTTTTGTGTATATGTGTATGACATCTGTGCATGCATGGATGTATGTTCCCATATGCACAAGTGCACATGTGTGCAGGTACCCATGCATGTGGAGACCAGATATTTAACAGTGGGTGTCTTCTTTTTTATTTTTTATTTTTATATTATGTGTGTATGAGTGTATTACCTGCATGTGTGTAAGTGCACCTGTGTCATGCAATGCCCTTGGAGGTCAGAAGAAGGTATCAGATCCCTGGAACTGGAGTTACAGGTGGTTATTAGCTGCTGTGTGGGTGCTGGGAGTTGAACCCAAGTCCTCTGAAAGAGCAGGCAGTGCTCATACCGCTGAGCTATCTCTCCAACCCCCAAACTGGGTATATTCTTTGATTGCTGACAACCTTTTATACCGAGGCAGAATCTCTCTCCTCCAAGTTGCTCTAAGAAATCTCTCTTTTCCCAAATACCAGGGTTATAGGAAGGCCACCACAGCCACCAAGAAGAATCCAAACTCCTGTTCTTCAGTCATCATGCTCACACAGCATGCTCTTTGACCTCTGAGCTACCTCCTCAGCCCTGACTCTTCACTTTCTATAGAGAACTTTGTTCACTTTGGAAATTGCCAGAAAAGAAATTAGAAGGGGAAAGGGGAAAGGTCAAATAATGGTGGATGAGAAGTTTGAGTTCAGCTTTGGTTCTGACATGGGCTCTACAGGGTTATTAATTTCCTACTCTCTAACATGGGCTGACATCACAACCTTCTCTCTGTTCACTGTGGGGTTTGTGTTGGGATCAGACTTATGTGCTGTCTCTGGGAGCAGCTGTCCAATGTTCACCCCAGGGTGGTTTCCTCTTGGGCTTTCCCTGCACATTTATAGGAACAAGATGGGTTCAAGATATGGGGAGATCAACCCTTACATGTGTTTCTAGCTGAGTCAATAAAATTCTTTCGAAGCCAGGAAGAGGGTATACTTTCTGGTTTCCCTGTTTGGG